GGAGCTGTATCCATGCCACAAACTTACGTCTGCATAACGCCCGGGCGAAACTGTCGCCGCACACGTCCTCCGAAACGTGAAAGGCCTCATATTCATTCTCAGGCGTAATATATCGAATGGAGTCGGTCAAGTAAGCTTCTCCAACTCTTCCGAGTGCATCCACCCACACATCACTCGACTTCGCTTCCTCTACCGTACACGGTACAGTGCCAGCGGGGCAGTTACAGGAATTCGTGGTAGTGTCCCAGTTGGTTGTAGTTTCCACTTCACACGCAGGAAGGGAGCTGGCTGGTGGAAGAAACACAGAAAAGACAATATACATAAGATACTGCTGAGTAGTTTCTCACGGACGCACACACGTTATATTGGATCTTAATTGCGTGTCTCGGTTAAAGGATTGTGGCTCACATGGAACGCAGTTATAAAACAGGGCAAACTTGTAATCCTCCGATGGAGCAAAGTCACACAGGTCAGACAAAGCAGGTTTTGCAGGAATATCTCCGATCCCCAACACGCAGTATAGCCTGTCGTTCAGTTCCTTATCTTTTTGACAAGCGGTAGCTGCCTCTTCGGCCTGAGAGTACACCAAGCAGTTCCCCTCTCCCCCCAAAAAAGCAGACGGATGCCCGGAGACAAAATCCACGACTTCAAACTCCTTTTCCTTGCAGAGTGCTTCTCCTCCAAAAGCGACATTCGATTCCAGTTGCTCCAGCGAGAACTGCTGATACCTATCTGCAGACCACAAAACCGTAGAGGGTGTGTGGTTTTTTGTCGCTCAACCCTCACCAGTAAGTCCAGCAAGCACTACAAAAGTTTAACAGGAGCTAAGTTCGTAAACCGAATCAAAAATAAACTCAACATTATAACTGATCCGAAACTAGCCACGCATTTTCCGCATTTACAGTATTGCTGTGTAGGGACGAAGCTTGGACGAGCGCCTGCATGATGCCAAGACACATACAGCATACTTCAAGGCGTGTGCTCCCGTTCGCATCTTTGAGTACTTTCAGAATCTACTCTACTAGCGCTACAAGTATAGAACGAGCTCGCAAGCGTCAACAGCGACAGCTGGCGGTGATAAGCACCCCGCAAGGCTGTGCGATTCAGAACGTGGGCAGGACGTGGGTACGTACTGAAGGAGCAGTTCTGCTGAAGTGTTTCGACCACTGAGGAGTGTACTTCGGGCTCGTCCCTGAGTTGTTTGCTTTCCCAGAATTCAGTAAAGCACGCCAAGGGGTCGTAACAAGTGAGGAAGTGCGTATCCGCCCTGCGTTTCCAGATTTCCTTGCAGACGAAACTGCACTGGCGGTCAATAGTTGTGGTTCCGTGAACATTACATTGCGGACCTCCATTCTTGTAGTCTGTTACAGAGCGAACTGGGGAAAGGACAAGCAACAAGCACGGCACTCGAATGCATCCTCTGCCAGGGAAAGCAACAGCACTATCAAATACTAAAACAGCAACAAATTCACCCCACATTGCCGCCGTGAGTGGTGTGCTGCAGATAAGTAGGTGCTTTAGAATTTAGGGCAGCCCAACTGTGAGCAGACTGTGCAACAATGCATTAAACATACCCCGTTCAGAGTCTACAAAAGCAGCACGCACTTCAGCGGCTAAACCAAGGAGTATATACGTGAGTCCAGGCAAGAGCAGACGGATTCGTGGCTTCGCCATCGTGGAGCTCCCTCATGATCGTTCCAGTATGGTGGGTCGGGTCACCTCTTACGGTTGTGCCAAGTTGTGAAACTTGACGAGGCCCATCGATTTCCACCTTCTGGATGGGAGATGTTGTAGTGCCCGGCACTACAATGTGCCGGACTTAAGCTCCTAATTCTGTAACAAAGTCTGTAATAACTGGAAAACGAAAAGTTGATAAGGTCGTTCGAAGACTCGAAGCAGACAACTGCTGGGACCGGCTGCTGCTTACAGCAGCGACGCGTCCACCCGTGGGCTCCGTGCACGAGCGCCGCAGTTCCCCGTAGCCTCTACAGACCTGGACAGCTGTACGATAACAAATACAATACTTATAGAGACAAGAAGTATCAAGTTAAGATTAACAAACAAAGAATGCTCGGCAGCCAAACCAGCTTAGGGCTGGCTGCGAGACTGACGCTGCGGTTGATGTAGTGCACAGGCACTACAATAGCTCCTCTGTGTGGTCTCTAGAGGCATAGTATCATGAAAAGGATTAAATAATATAGAGTTTCGCAGGAATTATGACATATTTATATAGAAAAGATGCATAATAGGGTCAGAGTGCTCACCAACCGGCACCGGCTTGAGGGCTGGGTGTGAGGAGGACCCTCAAGGGGGGTCAAGAACAGTTCTATTATTCTGGACTTTCCTGTGGGGACAGATAATATGAACTCCAATGTGTTTTGGTTATTTAAGGTCTTTAATAGTAGATTTAGCGAGAATCATGTGTTTAGGTTGCTAGATGCAGAGTTTGCACTAAGTCCGAGTAGCTACGGGTCCATACGTAGTACCAGCATGGGCCGCTGGGCACTACAGTTGATGTAGTGCACACACACTACATTGGAGCTCAGGTGGACCCTTAACAGACATAGTTAGATGTGAGAGAACGAATAGAATACTTATATAGACAAGTTGTATTATTTTATAAAGAAAGCTAGGACAACCAAACCACGATTGCCCAGCAGCCACAGCAGCTCACGGATGGATACGAGACTGACGCTGCGGTTGAGACACTGACTCCTTTAAAATGAATGGACTCGAATACATTTTAAAGAAGATACATTGAATATTTGAGTTCTTATAGTACAGGTAGGCTGTGTTCAGTTCATAGATGAAGAGTCTGAACCCAGTAGGTTTGTCATTGGGTATACACATAGTAACAGCCGAGCCCGCTGTTCACTACAGGAGAATATAGGCGCTTTAGGCTCTTTCCTTTCTAAGTCTACAGACAGTTGTTATGGGGTCTCAAAAGAGGCCGTTGCTGCAGAAGACAGACGTAGCCTCCCATACATGCAGCAGAGAGGAGCACCCAGCACTGCCGACTGGCCAGAGAACCAGAGAGCAGCGGGACGATGGCTGCTTTTTGTGAATTTTACGGTTTCCTTGTATTGAATTTCACTGCAAAATAACAGGAATTAGGTAGGGTTGGCACAAAGCTGCATTCTAGACGAAGGAAGTTAGGTACAAATGCCACGAAGGTGAATGGGAAACACCCCCCTAGGCATGCACTGTCCGCTTTGGTAAACTTCAATTGGTGGACAACAAGATAATCCACTGTTGCCCTACACATTCTTTTTACATCGGGAAATCTCAATAAATACTATTAGCAATGCTAAAAAGGATTATTTAGAATTACAGATTCGTCAGGTTCATGGAAGTACCTTCTCTGGTCACTGTAGAGCACACAGGCACTACGGGGAGCTCAAGTGGAACATTCAGAGACCTTCTTAGATGAAAGAGAAAAAATACAATACTAATAGGAATAAATGGTAATACTTTAGATAGAAATTTAAGATAACCAAGTCAATAATGCTCGGCAGCTACACCCGGTTAGGGCTGCTCGTGCGACTGATGCTGCGGTTGAGCCTCCGGTTGTCTGCAGAGTCACCAGGCGGATTCATGATTGGCGGATTTCCTTTCCAAGATTATTGGACTGGAATATGTTTTAAAGACTAATACTTGAATATTAAGGTCATAATAGTGGAGATATATTGGGTTTATAGTATGGGGTTAACGTAGGATACATACGTAGTAACAGCACACACACAGTCGAGCTGGTGTGGTCATGATTGGTCACGCCTGACCAGCCCTGAGGGACGTGGGGTGTGAAGAACACGTTGAACCACAGCTCGTTAATATCTCCACTAAAAATTATTAAGACTTTTGAGTTTTATCCGTGTCCAAGCGACAGGCGCACAGGTAGTGGCTTAGCTTAGTTGTAACCTCGCAATTTTCCCCGTGGTGCTTCATTAACCTTGGACCTCTATCGACTCTAAGGGGCAGTGCGGTAGCATACAGCAGTGAACTCGAGCAGGATGGGGGAGCATTTAATCAATATGGGCCATGAAAGGCAGTCTTTCAGTTGCTCCCCGACCCGGATGATGTCAGTGGGGCGTGGTGCCTGACGTAAAGCCGGGCAGTGTCTGGATGTTTCTGTGGCTTCTCTGTTCTCTATGCCTTCCCTTCACATTAGCAATGCTCGCACTAGCACACGGGTTGATCTCGAGCTTGTGCATACGCGTCTTAGGCGTCGTCGTGAGCAGCTTCCCGCCTATGGGCACGCAATGGAGTGCATGTATTTGTCTCCGTAGATGAGCACATATATTCGTGTATATAGGCACATTTGTTATTATCGAGTAGCTTGACGTATTCATCATTAGTATGCACCGTGCTTTGGGAGCGTTCAGGAGGCACATTTTCCGTCGGTTAGACATGAGGCGTTCCAAAGGGCCAAACCAAATGGCCACCCACTTGAATCGGCACAGTTGCACTTTAACACTAAATGATTCCCCAAAGTTGGACGTGATACAAGCGCACAGCTCATCATGCTGGTTTGCTCAGAGGAGTTCGAAACAGGTGGGCGGGCAGGCCAGAACCAAGCAGACTCCAAAGTCAGAATAATGTCAAGCCATAGGATGGAGATAATCCCTAGAGTCGCGTTTCAGCTCCCAGACTCCGTCTTGTACCATCTCAATCTCCCGTTGCTCAACGGGCAGATCTTGCCTTGTGGAGTGTTCATTGTGTGTGGTTCCATTCTCCTAAAACCACTGAAACGCTGTAGGTCAGGTACTGGGTTGGCAAGCAAGCTCGAAAGTATCTTATAGACGGATACGCTATTTAGGCTGTGCGTGAAAGGATCCATCTACATAGAGTTGCAAGTATCCTGCCTACACATGCATATGTTGGGATTAGCGCCCCTACGTGCGCTTTCCGAGGGGCGTAGAACAGTAACGTGCTCAGCGTATTACCCGCTACCCGCTATCTCGATTCATTTCTTAAACGCTTTGTCCCGTTAAAAGTATAAATAGGGTGGCTGCAAGACAGGGTACTGCCTGAACCTTCGTTCCCAGGGTTTGAACACGAACTGGAAGCCGTGCCCTGTCACGAAGTGCAGTAGGTATAGCGTGCAGTAGGCGAGTTCCACTTGAACACGCTTCAGCCGCGACAACGCTAAATGGCCTCAGTAGTAAGAGGCCAGTAGACGGCCAGCTGCATTCCCAAGTCTAACCCTTGCTAAATTAGTGTATAGGTCAGTCTCCCTTCGCAAGTGCCATACATACTATCCGGTGAGGGTCAAGCATTATAGATTGACTTTTCCGTAGATCTGTGGCAAATTTGATGGTTATTCCTTGACCATGTTCACTAGCTCGACGTATCGGCCCCGTAGACCGAGCACCTTCTGCACGTCGACGCTGTGCTGGATGAACCAAAGCACGAGGGCAATGCCGACAAATGTCCCAACAAGCAGCATAATGAGCATCGTAATCATCATCTGACGCCGTTCTGTCTCAACGTCATCTGCCACTGAGCAATGAGCAAGTACGCACACAGTCGCATTATTGATCAGTATAGCCCTAGACAATGAAATGAATTGTTTCACGTTTCTCTCTAATGACGCTTTCCAAGCCGCAGCATCCAGCAGAAACCTACCCACGCAGAAAACCGACGAAAACTGATCTGTCGAGCACTGGTCCTCTGCAGTGACCTCGTTGAAGTCCGCGACACTATCCTTAAATGTACGCGTCTCGCAGTCGAAAAGTCCGAAGTTGGTCAGTGGAATTACAGCTGAACAGAAATGGATATGCGCTGCATAATATCTCTTCCACACTCGTACAATACGTTGCAAGTGGCTACTATCTTCGGCTAACGATTCTAGTAGTCACACAGTTCCGGCTTGAAACACGCACCGACGCTATCTTCCTGGCATAGAGCCATCATACTCTGGTTCCACAACGAGCGTGTTGCTTCTGCCTCAGCAATCGTGCATGGTCTGGTGTATGAAGGGCATCTGCACGTCCGGTACTGCAAGCAACGTCGGCACATACCAAAATCTGTAGTTGGAACGGGTCCCCATGGTGACGCTTTAAGTGCTATCCAAGGAGAACAGTGCACATATCCTGTCTTTAGTTTTGTTCGGGAGGCTATCTAACTTATACAACTTTAATTAGTCCTACTGTATGACTAGCTAGTATCTCAAGTAGAGGGCGTATTGTAACTGTGCGTAGATTGTGTGGGAGGTGCGTAGCCGTTGATGCTCCGGCCATCAGTTACTTTCTCACAATTGCATCATAGCGTGTTGGCAACGAAACACCAGCCATGTTGTAGATTTCGCAAGCAACATCGCTGTCCACTTGAGTCGAGCTTTGTGTTGTGGTGGTGGTGTCATCGCGGTCGGGACTCCAAGTTGCATGGGATGGCTCCGGCTTGGGTGTAATCACTAGGGTAAGAGATGCATCTGAATGATCTGGAGGAGACAATTCAAAGCATTGAGGCAGCCTCGGTCAGCGGGTAGAAGAATATGCTCGTGAAGCGCTTGCAACTCCACGGGAAGTACACCACGTTTTTCCGTCGTATTCTCGTTGGTGCTAATGAACTGTATATTTGCTGACTTTCTATTCTCTCCCGCAACGCAACAACTACCAGCGTCACAATTTCGTGCAGGGAAATGCGAAACGTACCGCAGATCTCTTGGAAACTGCAGGGCTCTGACTGCACAGTTCCTCCATCTCCGTTTGCGTCTCCGCCTGACGGACAACAAAATACAGCAGACAAGATATCTTGTTGGCACCATCAGTTATACTGAATCCATGAAGTACCGCCGAGATGACATGCGCATACCCTGCTGTTAAAACCTTACCTGTCGTGCCCCCAACCCTGCATGGTTCTCCGCCAGCTGTGCTTGGCTCCAAAATCTGTCTTGTGCGTATTCTGACGCTTGACTCCACTCCTCCAACGCCACTGCGGCAAGTGGCGCTGCAGGCGGACCACTCTCCCCACTCCGAGTAAGTACAGTTCTTCGGCACTAGCTTGCAGAAAATTATACCTCTGCCAGCAAAAAGTGTGCCCTTAGTGGCACATTGCAAATTAAAGCCCGTGGTCTCGCGCTTTGTGGCGATGCATGACAAGTAGTCAATCGTGGTGGCGGCGCATTCATCCTTGATCTCAATGCATTGCCTCTCACACTCCTCAGCACTTACACTGTCTGTCATCGGCATGAGCTCTGAGCAGTCGAGGTTGACATCGTCTGCAGGCACAAACGGTCGCCTTCCGAAAAGTCCGTTTTTATTGGAGCAAGAAGCATTCAATGCTTGTATCAAGAACTTGCATGGAATCGGCTGCCTTCAGACTGTGTCATGCGTGGTAGGGTGAGCATACATGGCGTGCTGGCAGATAGCCCATGTTGAGACTCGAGCCCATTCTTGCAGTAATCGTTCATCTCGGCCGCACTTTTAAACACGGAATATGTGGCAGCATCTTCTGGCTGCTGAAAGTCCCTGCTGTTACTAAGGGGACAGAATACCTTGGCCGAGTCCGCTGCAGCAAAGAACAGCTTTGAATCAGCGGTTCCTGGTGTTTCAGCGCTAAAACTTGCCCCAGCTGTGTCTTGACTGGGGCAAGACGATGCCGTAGCAAGAGAAAGCAGGCGCGACTCAAAGACCTCTTTTGCTGTGCACGGGATGGAATTCGGCGTGAGACACAAGCACTGCATAGAAGAACTGTTAGGATCTAGAAACCGGAACTCTGAATTCTCGTCGTCGTTGGTCCGAGAAAAGCTTGGGAAGCAAACTGGGGTTGCTGTCTCTGAAAACCAACAAAAGTGCAGGCAGAATATGTTGAAATAGAGATACAAGAGAAGGAAAGGATCAGCATTCCTTAGCACCTCCATGCGTTGATGTCCGGCAGTCATACCTTTGACAAGTCGTTGCGAGTATGTGCATTTGCCACCAACTGGCTGATTCTCAACAACGTAATCAGCAAAACACTGAAGAGTTGTCTGTCCGTTGACCTTGGATTCTTCTGAGCACGCAGCAATGATCTTCTCGCATTGCTCTTTGCAGAATTGCCTCTCTTCTAAAATGTCATGTACAGGTACAAGGTCGTCGCAGCCTGCGCAACCCAACATCGACGCAACTTAAGTTGCACGGATACATTCAGACGGCTCAGGAACCACTGGTAAAGCAAGCTCTAGTTAAGCGCGAGGGACTCTGTATCTGGTTCTTTCACCAACCAACGTACTAGGCTGTCGGTCATCTCTGCACGGTTCCAGGGCGTCTGGGCAATCTTCGCTTTGCGTGCCTGCATGCAGTCATTTACACGAACGCTCCAAACGGAGACTTAATAGCACAGAATGGCCCAATCGCGCCGCAAATGGGTACCGTATGATATTTATTTCGACTCTGCAGGGGCAGAGCCAGTGCTTACTATAGTATGCAGGCTGGAATCCTGTAGCGGTGTCCTTTTTGATACTGAATCTGTATCGCTTCGCCTTCCGACCATTCAACAAGCACCTGAATCAGCGGGCCACGCACCAAGCACTAGCAAGAGGCAATGTTCAGGAAAGTATGCGATGGAGTTTTACGTTAACACGCGATTTCAGGGTCCTGCAACACTTGCTGCAACGCTTTTATGGCCGCCTTACGGTGCGTCGCAGGACGACCACTCTGACCAGATCAAGCTGTTATCTGTACCATCGTCTTGGCTGCCTAACTGAAGTGCGCTGGCGGCCACTGGCGGCTTGGAGTTAGTGTCATCTTGCTCTGCAAACAACGCCGGTAGTGTCTGCACTCATGGTCCCTTATATGATTGAATCTATTCAATAGTTTCTTCACTTTCTACTTGGATGCGTTGTAGCTAACGCACATAGCATGACTAAGCAGCGCCGCACCGTCAGCCTACTAATAGCTCAACGAGATTCCTGCAGCTGTGCAAGTAAGCCGGGGCTCCCGCCCCACATTAGCAACTTACCTTTGCACCGCGATTCATCATATTCCTTCAGTTCGAGCTCGGAGCAAGCACCTCCTGCCTCTGCAAATACTAGCTTTTCCCTGTAGGATGTTTTGACGGGTGAGAGGCCAAACTCGAGAAGCTTCTCTGAGCAGCTGGACCACTCAGTCCATTCAGAGTGACGACACAGTGAATCGCAAGGTATAGGCTTGTCAAACACGCATGGTACTGTCTCTTCCAGTTGACATGGGGCTCCACTTCCCCTGGAAGGCAACAGCTGAGGCCTCCGACGCCTCCTAACCGGAGTGGGTCCCTGGGAGCTAGCACGCAATAACGCAGCCTTGAGCAGAACAATTGTGTGCCGATGCTTCCACCTACCTTCCTAGAGGGTTACTTCAAGTTTGTCTGCATCCTTGCCTTGCGTTTCTTTCCATGTGTGAGGCCGTAGATACAATCTACGTCGTGCTCAGAGCTTACTCAGATGGTGTGCAAGTTGCGGAGCAATCCGACCACTCAGACCAGTCTCCCGGTAAGCAGTCTGCATTCTGAGGCCAGTCCCAAGTCGGTGCAGCAGTGCTCGTCGTTGTAGTTAATGAGGCGGCTGCGCATAGACACCGAGGCACGTCAAGATCAAGCATGCCAGTGATTTGGCGATCTAAATCTACCCACGCTCAAAGCGTCAGCTAGGAAATGTCAGACAGCTTATTGAGAGCCTCCACTCTCTAGGCAACAGTTGTATGAACCGGGCTTACATGGGCAAAATACGAAGGGAGTGTCCGCTACGCATTGGTTGTAACCACTTTTGTTGACTCGCCCGTTGAGAACGACATCATCTAGAGAGTACAGTGGCAGTTCCCTCTGTTGCCACCGAAGATTTGAAGATGCAGTGCACAGGTCACTGGCCACTTGCATAAATCCCCGAGCAACGGGCTGTACAGCTTCCCACGTGCGGCATAAAGAGCCTACAAAAAAAGAACACGCACCATAAACTGCTCATTTCACCTTTAGTTAGGCAGGCCGCATGGGTTCACATTGTCGACCAATGAAAGCATTCCGCATTCTGAAAAGCATGCGTAACGTGCATAGTGCAGATGGATGTGCTGTTAGGCCTGCGATGCCTGCTGCAGCTGACCCCATGGGGAAACATCTTGGATCCAGTGGGCCCGATCCTGTTCCACCTGATGTTGCGTACAGGGGCTAAAGCCCTGGGGACATGAACAACTCATGGCGTCGACGTCCCACCCTAGATCTGGGTAGCTGGACATGTCAACTACTCTGCACTGGACGCTGGCTGAGCAGACAAACAATAAGAAAGAAACGATAGCAAAACAACAATAATTAAGGCAGTCACTTCTCAAAACTAAATAGGTAGAGCTCGATATCAGGTGCAAACAATGCTGCAGATGTAAAGCCCTACCGCCAACTGGAGGGGGAGTCGTCGTAGTTGACGCTGATCCTGCCGTATCCACAGCTGCGACACAACAAGCCCAACCTTCTACGCGAATATGTGACAAGCAGTTACTGCGTTTTGCCAGCTTTATTTTGCGCATCCAGAATAATAAAAATTCCCCAGCATATCCCCCTCATGCCCCCTCAAACTATGTAGAGCTTTTGCATGGTAGCTCTCAAAAGACTTACAGGCCTCGACGTAGCACTTCGCCTTTAGCTCTGCGGAAGCGGCGGCTACGAAGCATTCCCAAGCCACTGGCGGGGGGCATGTTCCAGATAATGCCGTGCATTCTGCAACACACTCTGCATCTGTCGCCGTCTCCTGCGCACCATACCAAGAGCGGAGAAAAGCGGGAACGTTCGGCATTTCGCTGCGAAAGTGCGTCGCTCTGGAACCACAAATCACGCAATTTGAGGCCTGCATATTTCCAACTCGTCTCTCATCTCAAGCAGTTTCATCTCCCTATACTGGCAGCCTGAATGGCAGAATATCTCTGTTTCTCCTTGTTATGCTGTCGCCAACACGAACGTACAACTTTAGACTTGGCTTCGGCGCAGTTGGGGGTGAAGTCTGAGCAAAGTGCACAAAATGTCAATTTTTGCTCGGCACGTTGCTATTAGAAGTAGTGCTTGCCTTAGAATTTCAAAACCAAAGTACCCCTAAGCGTTATGTCGTGCTCCGAAGGCGGATGAAGCCTAGTTACCTGGAATGGGCGCTTCATGGGCTGTGGAGGATGCTGAGTCCAAACAGGTATTCCACACAACGCAAAACGCTCACTCGTACTCTTTTTTGTATATACTCTTCCTTATGTTCGTTCGCTTAGAGCCGAAGCTTACAAATCGGACGAGCTGTAAACCCTAGTACTAATTCTCGGCAAGTCCGTTGCTCACGGTGTTTGATCTGGAGAGCGGCGAGTAATGAGCTTCCGTAGTGCCTGGGGGCCTCTTCAAAAACGAAGTCCGTGCAGGAACCATTAGAGACCACGAAGATCGTTGGACTCCAGGACGAGGAACCTTCCACTTTCTCCTTTACAACCATTTTTATGTGATCGGTTTTCCGCACCACCCAGGAGCCAAAAATCAGGGGGAATCGATCGCCGAACAGCTCCGTAGAGTACTGGACGTCGACAGACCATCCGGCATGGACCTTCACCATCCTTGTCTGCGTGGGAAAATGCATGACCAAACATGAAAGGTAAGTACAAACTCAACCTCATAGGGGTGTCAAGTAATCGTGAATCTGTGGACATCGGGAGTTGTCTGCTTCCGGGGTATAAAGAATGTCCTTCAAGTACTGAACAGTCACACTGTAAGTGCGTGGTCCCCACATCCAATGTCAAATTGTTTGTTTTGCAGCCAAGAGGGCACAGCGATTCCGGTACGGCGTCCATATACAGATAGCCGAGGGTGTACTTGATTGGCTTCACTTCTGTGGAGGTACTCTCGAGGTAAATGGTAGCTGACGTGGTGGTAAGCTGTACGAGTTTGAGGAGAGGAATTTCTGTTGGGGGGAGATTCGTCGGGATGTTCTGAATTTGTTTCAAAAGAATTGACTGCCCCATTTTCATACGCACAAAGCAAAAACAAAAATCAAGGATCAACAAAAAGCTGTTGTGGAGCGCACTTACTCTGTTTACATGTGTCACTACTACACTCAGATATTGTCGACCCCTCGCGGCATAGTTTCGGAGTGCTTTACCTACCGAACTAGTGCGCAACTTGAATCCAGGAAGCACGTCAACACTCTCCCCAACACTGATATCAACCGTAGCAACGCGAATTGATGTACCAGAATTTGGTATGGTGAAGATTTCCTCTGAAGCGGCGAGCCAGCTCACTTGAGCGTAAGCAGGCGCATAACCTGAATGTTTCCAGAGCATCAAATCCACGACGCAGGCAGTGGATGACGAGCTAGAGCTATCTATTCGTAGTGAATTTCCTCACGTGCTCGTGGTCCTGCAGCGGGCGCTCACCAAGTCTGCAGTGGTCCACGGCTAAGCGAATGTGAAACCCAGTTTCCGTTACTCCTGTTACTTGTACCTCACCAAATGTATCAAGTGGGTGGAGAAGACCTGCAAAGAAAGGGAGCAGTAACACTTGTTTCCACCTACCGACTCGATAGTCGGTCATGGATGCCCGTTCCCATCCCAGTACAGCAGTCCAGGAAAGTTAACGGCCCAGCACTTAAGGCTCGCTAGGCGATACCTGTGAATACTACCGGATTCGGAGATACAGGAGACTCGAAGGTTACAAGTTTCCACGTTGTTGTTGCCGTCACTGTGCCGGCCACCATGTTTGAGTCTGCATAAATGCAACTGACAAACACGCCAAGCATAGATTCATAACAGCACACCCAGACAAATTGTCATGAGTGAGCACAGTCCTATTGTCCGGTGGACTGAATCCTTCACCATGCCCGATGAAGCTGATTTTCCAAAGGATATGAAACGCCCAAGCCGGCACCAGCATTGGCCTCACCCCGTTGTTCTTTATCTTCTAGCTCTGCAGGGAAGCATTACAGACGCACGACGCACCAAACATACCGGACTGTATACGATTGTTCATTCTGATCTGGAGTTTTCTCAAATAAGAAACGAGGCAACTTTCGCGTTCATTTTATCATGCCCTGACCTGATGGAACACTGCACTGGCGCAGAATTGAGTGGGTCTTCTGCTCCTCAAAAAAGCATATTGAAGCGTTAGAAGGCTGAGTTGCTTTGCAATTGTTGTGGATGCTGTGACACCAGTATGCACACTTGTAGTCGGAAACTTCGGCCCTGTTGAGAGAGACGGCTTCATCACAATTTGGTAGCAGGCCTGTGGCAAAATGAACATTTTACGATGTCAAAGTAGAAGCGGACATTTTCAGGGCGAGTAAGTGATAAAATTTAGGCGTTACCGCTGAAAACGCTCCGCAGGTCGGCAATCTTGAATAAAATATCAGCCACGGATCGTGGAGTTGGTGTTCACCTGTCTGAGTCCCTGATGTAACTGTAGTGCTAACTGCAAGAAAGCACAGCACGCATGTACCCGTTGGTTCATATAAATGTTGCAAATGGGTGCGGGGCTGGTAACTTCGGTCGTCTCCAGGAGAGAATCTAGAACACGACAAGCTGCACTGTCAACCAAATGCACTCACCTCGGCAAAATATCCCCTTGTATGCTGACGCGTCCCCACATGCTGATTCGCCTGTAACTCCAAAATCTGTATAAATAGAACCTGAGTCTTCCATAACTCTCATATTGCGCAACAGGATAACTCCGCTCTTCCCTAGGTAGTGGTCTTTGAAATAGCCCGTCCAGTCATGCGCCAGCATTTTGACTTCACTTTCAGTGCATGGTTCCATAGTAGGATCATCAGCGCATCCGCATGTTTTAAATTTGGCCTTATACGTATCTGAGACAGGCCGTATGTTACAGGTCTTGCGTAGGCTGTTTGGAACGTAACAGTCCTTCAAGCTCTCATTAACGCAGGCCCACCGATTGGCACTGGACGGGCACTTGGTCTGCCAGTACATCATTCACATGGGGTGCAGAAACCGAATTCAGGATTCTTAAATAAAAGCAAGTCATTTAGAAATCGGGAATGTCATATCTTATTATTGGAATACTCTATGGCCATCATCTATGCTTGGGTGCAGGCTACAGTTCATCCCCCTTCAGAGATATAAAAGAGTCGCAGACGAACCTTCAGTAAGTGCGTGCATGTGTCCCTGCAGAGCTCATCGTGGGAAACACCTTTACCGGTTTTTGTAGAAAATGCTTCTTCACAGAAGGGTGCTGCACGCTCACGAAGGCAAAACTCAAGAAAACGGGTTCTCTCTGAAGTACGGGTAAAGCATATCATGCAACATGCCGTCAAAGCGTTCTAGTGTACAGCTGAGTTTTGACGCCTTTTAGAGATCAAGATGCCCGAGGCCAGCGGATGATACAGTTATTTCTAACCCATCTACTGTTGAGCGGCAACACCGCTGGCTTCAAATGTTACGTTCTAGAGACTCACTTGGTGCCATCATGCCTTCGTCAGGGTCTCCCTCTACAGGGTCTGTGCAAACCACGCAGGACAGAGCATGTGGATCGTTGCTAACATGGCAACGCACGAACACTGCAGGGGTTCATGGTCACTAGCCTGTCATAGTGCCGATCTTTCGAGCGTGCTTCGATTGAAATTCAGCCGTACGTTTGCAAAGGATTTTGACGAAGTCACTTAAACAATCCTGTTCCGAGGAGGGGGCCCAAATTGAAAATGCCACGTTGCCACTTTCGTCAATAGATACACCACGAGCGCCGCCTAGGACGAAACTTTGGGGAGGTGTAACCGATGCTTGCCAGGATGGCAAGGCCTGCAAAAACAAGCGATCGACGTGAAGCAGAGAGTTGGGACGGATGCAATTAGCGCATGCATCGGCGGCTTAATCTACGCCTTACAGTAATCTCTTCCTGCGTTGCCGGAATAGAGCCTTCCGTGCATGAGCAAGAAGGTATGCTTCCCGAATAAGAAATGCTTCCCGATAGCGCTTGGACAGAAATACCGAAACCGCCCAGTGATTCCTCTCCTGCAAGGTCACGGAGTACGCATGCCAGCAGTGCCTATATGCCTGTTGACCTGCAGAACTCTTGACGCTCCTCAGGTGTCCAGTTTGAGCTATGTAAAGAGTTAGATTGAAGGACTGCTGGGAACACTGCTTCTATGATATATATTGGCTATCCAAGCAGTCTAACTCACTCAGCTTGCAGCTGTAAAATATAACCAGACTGAAAGCGTCGCAGGACGGACACAACTCCAGTGCAGGCGGAAACGCGCCTCTGGAAATTGTGCATTGCGTCAAGTTGGGAGAAGCGCAAGCTCCCTGTACAACACTTGTAGCATCATACGCTTGGCAGGAGCGCTTCTCTTCCTCGTCGACAATCATCTGAAACGTACCATAGCAAGCAAAAGGGTGTTCCGCATGTTTCCTGCTGGGTGATATAGAGGTAACCGGGGAGATTAAAATGCCATGCTCCGTTTCTCTAACCACGCACGTTAAAGCCCTTCAAAATCTTTAGCAAGCCGACTACTGTAACTGCCAAAGACTACTACGTAGTTTGCAGTCCCAAGCGGGTCATTGTGCAATATGTGAGCTTTCGTTGGCCCTTGTATTCAAAAACTTCGCGGTGCTTTGCTAAAGCTCAGGTGATCCTACCGTGATGCAGCAGCCAGCACATATGACCATGAGAACTTCCCTAAGGTTTTCAGCACAGCTCATCGTACCGATTTGCAGCCAAATGTGGCGCCAGCAATATCCGCAAAGTGCGTATCAGGGCAGAGGTCGTGCACGACAAGCGCTCCCCCCTCAAGGTCAAAAACGGACAGATGGTCTTCAGACAAAAACGCAGGCAACACCGAATCTGCCGTTGGTTATCGACGGTGGGTGGGTAATGGGCAGTATGCAGCTAAAACGCAAGGACTTCCCAAGCCGCTGCGCACTCACTCTGGTTGGCAATTCACCAGCCCCCTCAAGCAGGAATGCAAAGGGTGCATACTCGCAGCTGCTTACCATACTGTGAGACTGGAGAGAAGTATGGTCGTTTTTCTGAGCACAACACAACGCTTCGCGTTCACCCAATGTTTCACAGTGATTTGGTTTAACATGAACTGGTCGTTGATTCTGCCTAGAATCGCTGAGCCGTACCGTATGTGCAGTTATTGGCGAGAGCGCTGAGGGACGACGTAAGCACCCACGGGTTATCAGCATGCCACTGCTTCATCAATGCAACAAACGTTTCATGCGGAGACGGTTCTGCTAGAGCTTTATCCTTAAATTGATCCCATAAGTCAAGGCACAGATTTCTACAGACGGCTCCTTCTAAAGTATCTACAGTTTGATCAGAGAGATCGGTGCATTGCGGGCCTCCGTCGCTGACGGTTTTTTTCTCCTCTGCAGGCATAAAGACGAACGCCTTCTGAAAGGGCAGGTTATACTAACGGGAATTGATCTTGCAAATGGCATTGCCGCCACTTAAGTACTGTAGGCACGTCAGGACAATCTTCTGGCAATGCGCTAGCCGGAAGATCGAATATCTCCGTCCTTTCTCTAAACGCATGCAGAATATTGGCTTCCTGTTTATCCTGCAGGCCAACTGGTGTTACTACCAAATCACACAACTTGCCGTCGCATAGGATGTACAGGTCGTCTGAAAGGCATTCGAGGGTAGTGTCCACAATTGAGAACTGCTTCTCTGTTGTCTTGTACCTGCGCCCAAATCATCTCATAAGCAAAAGAAGCTCAAATCAAGCTTGGTTAACAAAGACAAGCCGAGTGAGTGCATTGTGTTGCTCTCACAAATTAGAAGCTTTTCACCAACTTGGCTAGGCCTTGGCACGGAAGAATGCACAACACGCGAGTGGTCCAGAAAGTGCAGAGGCACTGTCCGTACTCACGCAATTCTTGCATCAACTACAATTTTTAAGCCTTCAGGCAGTGAAGCCCGCCAGTCTGTATCTTTGAATGCCTTCTGAACGTTACATTTTGGTCTTCCACTGGGGCAGTTGCACGCTCCTGCAAAGGATACCGGAGTAGCGCAGCTACGCAGAGGTGTTCACAGCAGTCTACCTTATTTCGTCGATGCGACTGCTCCCCAAATAGTGCGCACTTGTAGCACTGCACCATATTCGGTCAGACCTTATATGCGCACTAAACGTTTGATGAGTGTGGGCCAAGGATAGGCAATACACGTCTCTTGGGGAGGATGCAACAAAAAGCGCAATCACCTGTGTGTTTGTAGGTACTTTCTGTAGGGCGGGCAGCGAGGCAAAATGGCTCGCTCAATCCTGAGTTTCAGCAAGCATACACACACACACACACACACACACACANACACACACACACACACACACACACACATACACGCACACACACACACATACCTCCCGAAATTCACCCATGAGCAATGCGCATAGCGCCTCGACATGCTTGCAGGGCGCAACGCATAAGAAGAAACTCACCTTGGTTGCAGTTAAAACGCATCAAAATTGAGGGGTTGAGAGCTGCTCCGCATAGGGATGACGGAGAAGCACTCGCGAACGCCTCCGTTGTTACTTCGCACGCCGCCGAATCTGACGATGCCTGCTCTTGGCAAAACTTGGTAATTAAATCTGTGATGTCTTGAATACCGCATGACGGCGTTTCAGACAGCTTCCCAGTCAAGACGAATTCATCGCTGAAGAGGACTTGAACGAGCTGGACAGCACCGCCGTTGCATGACCCCTCTGTGTTCCACGTGTGGCCGCTCGCTGTATCACTCCATGTAATAAGTTGTTCGAAGGCTATGAACAAGAACAGAGACATTTTAGCTTCTAGGTAATGGCACCTGAAGAAGCGACTTCCCAGGCAATTTTATCTAAGGAACCAATTGCGCTGGCAGATCGCCGCTATGTGCTCACTGTATTGTTCTGGTGGGGAAGAAGAAGGCCTCGTCGCTGAAACGTACAATAGAAGCACAGAACCGCACGCAGACTAGCCTATATTTCGAAGGATGGAGTTCATACTCATGTTCGGGTCCAGGCAAGCTTATTGGCGTTGATGCGACGACTGAGCCTAAATGAGCCACGGCCTGTACAGGGACTGAATGTGTTACCAAAAGAACAGCCGGTAGATAACTCTTGAGCCAAAAGATCATCGAATAGGCTTTCCCACGCGTCCACTATCGCTGACTGTGTCGAGAGGTCAGTCTTGAAGCATTCCATGGGATCCGCACAGTTCATGTATTTTTCTTTGTGCTGGGACCACATAGTATTGCACGTAAGTTCACAGAAAGGCAGCAGGTCTGGAGAAGTAGACTGTGCTTTCCAGCAATTTGGGCCCATGTTTTTGCGTACAAGTGAGTCTTCCGCTGCATAGTAACCGCAATCGCACGCTTCGCCTCACCAGTAGCCCTAACTTTGGTGTGTATAACTCAGGGTATCTCTCCGCGCTGGACATAGGTTCCCGATGTAGCCGTGTTCCCTAGTACAACTACAGTAATTCTTCATCTACCACGCGAATGCGAAAGTAATCTGAGCTACGAGATTAGCTGACCGTGAGCAATAAGCAAGTAAGAAGAAGCGGCCTCGTTCAATGTTGCACTCGACTGGCAATCTTTTATAATCCGAGGCACGCAGCTCGCATTGGAGCTGGAAACAACGGCGTAGCTGTGTGAGGCGGGAACAGAATATGGTTGTATAAATGCTAGGACTGGAGAAGCAAGGGAATGTGAAAATTCATTGCCCGACGTGATCATCGTTTCCGGTTTAAGCTGCGATCAAGGAACACACAAATATCCATGCGATCATAACGCGAAGACAGCTGTAAATCGCTCGTGATATGCTTGGGCTCTAAAGCTGGACGATATTGCGTCGATTGAGGCTGAGCGCCTTACTTCAATGTCCACTCCGCCAAAATGGGTCGGGAGGGAGGCACCGAGAGCCATTATTGCTACGACGACTGTGGGAGAGTACGTGGAGATGCTGGTGGATAATGAGATTGTATATTTATCTCCTGCGGAGGCGACAGAGCCTATCGCGTGAACGTACGGCGTCACGTTGAACTCAGTTGCCTTTTCTGCAATAGCTGCCATGTTCTGGATCTGTGTGAGGACAACGTAGTTTGACTACGAAACAAAAGGAAAAACAACATAGAATTAAGAACGACTTAAAGACTGAATGATTGCGAAGTCACGCCAAAGGAACGTGGCTTCAATGGGTCGGAGACCTGTCAGTGGACTCTACGAGTTGCCCTGGTCATCTCAGTTTCCCAGTTAGTTTGTTCCTTAGGACCGTGATTTCTTACGCTAATTCGGTGCCAGTCTTCAACGGAAAAGGTATATGTATGATTTTCGATGGTAGGAGAGTTCTCAGGTCTGGCCAGCAGAGCAAAATCGGCGAAATAATCCTGTCCAGCCGTTTTGTGCCATGCAATATAGGGCACACTAATCCGAGTCCTGGAGAGGTCCGCGGTTACGCACGAAGGCACCATCACACGGGCAGTGAATCCATTCGCGTCCACCTCCCCTACCTGAATATTGAGACAGCAGCTACACACGCCACCGCATAGTAAATTATTGGAGGAGATGAGCCCTTCCAATTCAATTGAAGATGAGGCCTTACCTGCGGCACTATCGCGTAGTCGCCAATGTAGTCAGGTGAGCCCAAGAAGACAAGAGGATTTGTCAGGGAGTGTGGGAAATCGACTCTAACCCAGGCGGCATCACCTTTCAGGTAAATCTTCCCCTTCACGAGATCTGTACACACCAAATTCGGAAGGGCTACGGCATCCGGAGGGAGCTGCTAACGCAGCTGCTGACAGCTGAAATAAAAATCGGCATGAGTGATATGCTGTGCCTCAGTGGAGATTGCGGTTATTCCTCCCAGTAAGTGCATACGCCTGTGGAAACGCTGATGTGTCCAGAAAACTTGTGTGATGTGTTCGTTCGTCGACATGCCAATCAAGATGGTGTACCTGGCGTCGAGTCGGCAAGGCCGTAAATAGCCAGTATTGGTGCTGCTATAATGAAGAGTTGCAGCATCTTTATGCTGAAATGCTTTGGGCGACTCATCTTCCTCCTCCAGTGAGAAATGCCCAGTGAGGCAGTGTACACTGCGCGTCAGCAAGGCGCCTCCGGAGCACGCGGCACCTGATCCAGTAGCACTAAAGGAAAGGAGAGCATTTGCATGCTCAGTTGAGCTGGAATATCCCAGCAGGACGTAAATCCATACGCGGAACTTTACATGTGTGCTACAGGAACAGCATACAAATTGTGTTGTTCACGGACTGCGCGTTCGTGCTCGCCTTGGGTCCACCCAGCTGGTGAGAGCTTCGTCACTTCGTGCTTGGGGCGGATTTTCCTGAACAGAGGGGCTTGCAGCGAAAGGTAGGTGCCTCGCAAGCACCGGCGTGAGACCATTGAGCCCTCTGCCAGTTAGCATCAACACACATAAGAGAGAAATGGGAACAGCTTAGCGGAGCAAGATAAGCCCAACTCACTCAGCTGAAAACACCATTGGCCTGATCTACGCGGAAGGAGTAGCAGTTCTGGCGGGTACTTGATATGTTCTGTTGGCCACGATTAGCTACTCCGTGGGTTCAGCTGACAGTTCGTCAGGCATCCATAGCAATGAAGGAATATAATCCAAATTTCCCGCAGCATCAGTTGCATAAATGCATTTCCAACTGCGTTTACCACGTGGTGTGCAATGTAGGTACCACTCATGCAAGCAGGAGGTGCTCGGGGCCGACGGAGTCCAGTCGAGGTCACGCTACCATCCCCCGCAACATGTAGTGCATTGGCACTACAATGCACCGTGGTAGATAATTAGCGAGACTAAAGATTCATAATGCTTAATTAATTTAACTAATAAAATTTAGGTTAGCAGGCCAAATCGCAGGGGGCACNAAATCGCAGGGGGCACCCGTAGAAACCGCGGATAGCCGGTACCTCGTAGAGGTAGAGGCCCAGCCACCGCTGAAACTCGGGTCGGCTGTCCCTAAGCTGTAGTGCACGGGCACTACAATAGCTCATCTGTGTGGCCCCTAGAGGTCTAGTATCATGAAAAGGATTACATACTATAGAATATCTCAGGAGTTAGGGCATCTTTATATAGGAGAAGATGCATAATAGGATCGGAGTGCTCACCAGCCTGCACCGGCGTGGTGTGAGGCTGAGGCTGTGACTGTGATACTGACCCTCAACGAGGGTCAGGGGGAGTTCTATTCTTCTGAGGATTTCCTTCAGGAAGAAATCAGGAACTCGAATGCTTTTTGAATATTTAATGGATTTTATAGTGAGAATAGCGAGAATTACGAGTTTAGATCCATAGAAGCAGTGTGTGCAGTTAGTCACAGCTTAGGGTTCATACGTAGTGACAGCAAAGGGTCGCTGCGCACTACATTTGGGGGCTGTTCCGGGAAATAAAATTAAAATAATATGAGAAAAATTATTGAGTTTGACTTAAAGGAGAAGCAAATCCTTTTTTTTCTCACAAAACCTGAAGTGACCTTCGCACCTAAGTGAACCACGGGGATGGACATGCAACGGAAAAGTGGTACAACCGCCACTAGAATTGAACACCGGAATGCCGAATATAGTTGCATCTAGTACGGAAACTGCAGGGCATCCTATGTAAACGAAGCGAACCGAACCCGGTCGCGACATCAGCCACGACGCTGTAGCACGCAAGGAACCTGAAATGAATCAAGCCGCAATGTAGCAGGGAATTGCCGAGTTCTTTCGGCAATTTGTCGCTCAGATGGCACTGGGGTTAGGACACGCGTCCCAGAGAGCCATAGGTTACGAGGATGGCAAAAACATGAGGAACTTCCTCGCTCTTGTGGAGATAGACTTCGTTGAACGGGGGCTGGAAGCCCAACAGTGGGGAGAAGAACTAAAGCGATATCTGAGGGGCGACGCTTTGGGTTACTGGTTGTACTTGCGTCGTACAGGAGCACCACTGACTGATTGGGAATACCTGAGAACAATTCTGTGCCCGATTTTGTAACATAACAAAGGAAAGGATGAAAGTGATTGTGAGAAACTCCCCTTTAGAAACGCCAGTCTAAGGGGAGTTCGGGGCCTTAGGGATCATGTGGCCCT